TAGCAACATCATCATCAGCATCATCATCATCATCATCATCGTCGTCAGCATCGTCATCATCATCATCATCAGTATCATCAGCACCATCAGAATCATCATCGTCATCGTCACCGTCATCGTCATCATCAGCAGCACCAGCATCATCATCATCATCATCATCATCATCAGCATCGTCATCATCATCATCAGCGTCGTCATCATCATCAGCAGCAGCATCATCATCACCGTCATCATCACCATCCATCATCAGCATCAACATAATCATCAGCATCATCTTCATTGTCAGCACCATCATCAGCATCACCATCATCGTCATCCTCATCATAATCACCATTATCATCATCATCACCATCATCAGCATCATCAGTATCATCAGCATTATCATCATCCTCGTCATCATCATCATCATCATTAGCAGCATCATCATCATTGTCATCATCAGCAGCATCATCATCCAAATCAGCTTCATCGTCAGCATCGTCATCATCATCGTCATCATCGTCATCATCTGCATCATCATCAGCAGCAGCATCATCATCAACATCATCATCACCGTCTTCATCAACATCATCAGCAACATCATCATCATCGTCGTCATCATCCTCATCAGCAGCAGCAGGTTCAGCAGCATCATCATCATCATCAGCAGCATCATCAGCAGCATCATCAGCATCAGCAGCATCATCATCAGCAGCAGCATCATCAGCATCATCATCAGCATCACCATCATCACCATCATCAGCATCATCAGCATCATCATGATCATCACCATCATCACCATCATCAGCATCATCAGCATCATCAGCACAGTCAGTATCATCAGCATCAGCAGCAGCATCATCATGATCATCACCATCATCACCATCATCAGCACCATCAGCATCATCAGCAGCATGATCATCCTCATCATCCTCCTCATCAGTATCACCATCAGCATCATCATCAGCATCATCGTCGTCATCATCAGCATACCCGTTTCGATTGCCCCCCTGATGTGCGTTTCGTGGTGCGCTTCCACGGAGGCAAAAGTGATCAGAGCGTCGGAACTGGCTGGGTCGTTCCGGGAGGTTCCAAGAGAAACCCCACAAGTGCCCAAAGAGGCTACCAGCGAGGCCCAAAGAGGCGAAAAGACGAAAGCAACCCAAAGAATGCCAACGCTTCCTGCTTCCGAGACTTCTCGGCTGCAGGCCGTCTCGGGCTGGAGGTCGCTCTGGGGGACTTTGAGAGAGCACCAGACCGCCACCGTGGTGACCCCCTGGCACGTGGAGGCTTGGGGTACGGTTTCACACATTTCCTCCGTATACAAGGTCTGGCGAAGAAAATCGCATGAAGTCCTAATTGACGCGACTGGAGCTCCGACACGCTAGAACAGGCCGACACGGAAGAGGACGAGAGGGAAAAGAGAGAGAAAGAACTACAAGAGGCTGGCAAGGAAGATGACCAAGGGGAGGAGAGAGAGAGAGAGAGAAAGAGAGAGAGAGAGACAGAGAGGTATAATATATATATATATATACGCACACATAAATCCATATATACATACAATGCGGGGCCGCAACAGCATCGCTGGCCGAGCGCATTTCTACGTTCGCGACCCCGCTCGGCCCTGGAACGCTTGGCAACCGCAGCGCCGTCGATTGCACCGACTGGCCACGACTCCAAACCTCGGCAGCCGCGCACGAGATGCGCGCGGCCCCCCCCATCAGACACCGATGGCCGTGGACCGACCTCTCGTGGGCCTTCGGCGCTGGCTTGGGCGGCACCTGCTGTGCCTTTGGCTGGCCCGCCGCGCGCTCGGCCTCCAGGCCAGCCCTAAAGAAGGCCATCTCCATCACGCAGTCGCGGGGATCCACGAGGAGCGAGAAAGGCAGCCGGGCCCCCCGTTCCGCGCTGGGGCTGGCGCTCCGCAACGGCGGGGTCTCCATCCCCGCGCAGAACCACACGGTCTCCATACACGGCCACCCGCAAGCAAGCACTGGAACATGGCCATGGGGGTCAGGGCGGAGGCCTCTATCCCCAGGGCACTGGCCAAGTTCGTCTTCATCAGCAAGCGAAGCTCGGGCCCGTGCTAGACCAGCACCTGCCGCCACTCCTGTCGACGCGCGATCCCACGCATCGAGGTCGAGGCATCACCACCTTCGGCCAACGGCGCGGCCGCTGACTGGGAGGGGCCGCTGAGCACGCCCAGCAGCGGGCGGGCTGCGGCCCGCGCCTGGCACGACCGCCAGAGTCTCCCGAAGACACCGCAAAGCCAGATCCAAAGTGGTTTGCGGGTTGCAGTAAGGGTCTCCTCGCCCCCGACGCCCCCCTCGCCCAAGCCAAAGGCCCCGACGGGCCTCGCCGGACCAGGGGGGGCCGGGAGTGGCGGGGGCACAAGATGCGGAGGCAGTGGAAGCTAGGCGCTCCCAGGCCCGGCCTTGCCACATGCCGACACTAGGGCGGACGGCGGCGTCGGCGCGCGGCTTTGGACCCGCTGAGGAGCAGCGGGGGCTTGGGCCTCGGCCTGGGAGGCCGCCCCGCGCGCCGCCCCGTCGGCGAAGACCTGCGGCACTTCGGCGCGGGAGCCGCGCAGGTCTGTGGGGGCATTGAGCAGAGCAGCCACCTCCTGGGTCGTCTGGGCAGCCATCAGACGGCGGATCTCCATCTGGACCTCGGCACGGGTCATCGCCACACCCTTGTCGAAGACTGCTGCAGGGGCGCCCGCAGCCCCCGGGCGGGCCGCCGCACTCGCCGTCTTCGGGGCGGCGCCCAGCCCGCCCGCCCCCTCCCCATGGGGCGGGGAGGGGCACCGCGGCAAGAGGGAGACCCCTCAGAGGCAAAAGTACGCCGCCGTCTGCGTCGGCGTCCTCCTCCTCCTCCTCCTCCTCCTCCTCCTCCTCCTCCTCCTCCTCCTCCTCCTCCTCCTCCTCCTCCTCCTCCTCCTCCTCCTCCTCCTCCTCCTCCTCCGCCACTTGCTCGCCCGCTGGATGGTAAGGGGGCCGCCCAGTCCGCACCTGGGAGCGCCTCCCGCCTGGCTTCGAGTAACCCCCCCTGGATCGCAACGCAGCCATCGCGCAGGGTCCGGACCCCCGAGTGGCGCGGCCACTAAGAACGGCCGCGCGAGGCTCCGAAGGGCACTAATCCCTCCGCGCCCCCGTCGGTCAGCGGGCACAGAGCTTCCAGCTCCATCTCCCCGACCTCCAGGACGATAGCCAGCAATGATGCAGTGGTGCTCAACGGGCGGGATGCCGCGCCGAGCAGGGGCAAATCGATCACCTGGCAGGGACCGATCAACCCTTGGAAGCCAACGGCCTCCACAAGGCCGAGGTCCTCGACCGAGCGGAACGCCGAGGGCAGCGCAGGCCTTAGCAAGAAAACAGGCCGAGAGGCCATGGGGGATCGGGGCGTAGCCTGCCTCGCCGTCGTCCAGACGCCATCGGTAGCACCTGGTGGCCGAAGGCGCCTCGAGCTGGTGGAGGCCGGGCCTGACTGGCCCCTCGGGGATGCGACCAGCCTCCCCCGTAGAAGCGGCAGCGGCCGTCATACCCGACGGCACGCGCGGAAGGCCACGCGGGCCTCACGCGGGGATAACCCTGGTGCGCCGCCAGGGACGAGCCAGGGCTCGAACGCGATCCTCAGCGTGCACCCCTGGACCGAAGGGCAGGGCGCGTCGCGCGCCGCAACCGCGCTCTGCGCAGAGGCGCCGAGCGCCTGCGCGCCCCGCAAGGGCAGACGCCCCCACCAGCGGGCCCCATTAGGGCCCCGATGCGGCCGCTGCCGCAGAGGCGCTGCAGAGGGCTGCGACGCCAAGAACCGCCGCAACCGAGGAGAGCAGCAGAGAAGTGGCCCTGCTGCTCACGTCCGCCGCCAGCCTTCGGCAGACGCTGGGGCAGGCCGAGCCCGGGGTGGCAGGGGGGCAGGTGCCCCCCGCCGCTCGGTCCGGCGCGGGCGGCCCGGGGAGGGCCCGGCAGCGGGGCCTCCGAGGGCCGCGAGTGGTGTCAGGGGCTGGCCAACGAGCCGCCCGTGGAGCGCGGCCGGAGTGGCCCGGATGGAAACGTCGCCCACCCCCCACGACGGCCACCTGGACCGCCGCCTGCATCACGCGACCGCTGGGGGCTGCCGGGAGCAGCTACGGGGCCGAGAAGGTGCAGAGACTGTCGGGCGCAGGAGGCACGCAGGACGAGGGGGACCTGGAGGAGTGAGAAGAGGAGGTGCAGGAGGAGGACGGAGAGAACGAGGAGGAGGAGGAGGAGGAGGGGGAGGATCTGGATGAGGACGAGGAAGAGGGGGAGAACGAGAACGAGAAGGCTGAGCGGGAGGGAAAGAGAAGGGGGAGAACAAGCTAGGTGCGCAAGCGTCCTATCTGACGTGCTACCCCATCCCCCATCCTTTACCATGGCGTAGACCTCCTTTTCTATTCGCAGTCGGATGTCGAGCAGGGCAATGATCCCGAAAGGGTACGAGAAGCATGATAGTGCACGGCGTACCAGGACGTGGGAGCACGATAGAACGTCGTCGGGTCGAGAACACGACTCATTTAGACAACAGGTTCTGAGGGAAACCAGACATGACGCAAGACGAAAATGACAAGGGACGGTTCCAAAAGAGCGGAAGCGTAAAGCGAAAGCCCTCGCTGCGGCGGGAACACGATTGGAAGATCCACAACCAAGAAATGAGGTCAGCGATGCAGCGGCAGTATGAGAGACCAGCAGCCAGAAAATGGAGCCACCGCTGCAGCGGGAGCGCCATTCTGGAAACACCAGGGACATTTGGAGCGATAAAAACACACATATGATCGAACACCTTTTAGGAATCCGATGTGTAGCAAACCATACGCGGAGGGGAGCAGGCCACGACCTCAGGATCTTCGGGGGCGAGAAGAACGTGGTATTAGTCTTGTGTAATAGTGGAGGGTGAGGTGTAGTGGAAGCGAAAGAGGGCGAGGGCGAGAAGGATAATGACGCGGATGTGGAGATATGCGGAGGAGGAGGAGGAGGACGACGACGACGACGCCGAAAGTGCACGCCGATTGAGAACAAGACGAACGGGCGTCTACTCTTACTTGGGAGCCACCTTGGCTTAACAAGCGCTGTCTGGGGACGCTGGGCTCTGGCGATATACACTGACATCAGCAGCCATAGACTTCCCTTTGGGGGCGAGGCGTTGCCTGCCAGCCCGCTGGGAAGGGGGATGCGGAGAAGGAGGAAGAAGAGGCCGTGAAGCTTGAAGGGGGGAGTATCCGAGACCCGCCCCAGTTCAGAAACCGCAGGCAGATGGATACCACCCGACGCAGAGTTCAGCACACCCGAAAACCGTCGGATGGAGAGGCGCAGTGCAAGCCCACCACGCCAAGGAGTGCGAGTGAGATCGCCAGAGCGAGAATGACCAACACGGCGGCTCATGATACTATTCTGATAACCCAAAACCACTCTTTGCATCCACACCTCTCCAACCCATCCCCACCAGCAGGGAGAAATGCTGCAGTCGACGGTTCGATCCGAGATCTAGTTTTGCTCCCGTCTGCCACCTTTGACCGCTGATTTGTGCCGCTTGGCGTGAAGCCGTTGGGGGGGGGGTTACACCATGTCGTTGATCTCTCGCGTGCAGACGCATCCCTCCTCAGTTGTTCTGAGGTTGACCCCGGTTGTCTATGACTTCAGCCGTACCCTGTCAGCCGCCGGATGCGTTTCTGAAGCTGCGACGGTTCGCTGGCGCTGTCAGAAATTCCTCTCCCTGCTGGACGACGTCAGCTCTACGCCTTCGGTCCGCTCATACCCGGCAGACACCCTGGGCTCTGTGACACCTCTCTTACACGGAGACTGATTCCCACTACCATGCGATTGTCTGACCGACACGATCCATGACTGGGGATGTGCGGCGCGCCATTTTGGCTGCGTCCGCCCTGCTTCCTGGGTGGCTGACCCCTCAGACTCCCTGGGCTGAAGTTTACACCGCCACCTGATCCGCGGCCCCCGCGCGCGCCCGGGTAATTCGTCACGGCCGCAGCCCGACCGTGACCCGCCGCCGCCGGCGCTTCCGCCTGCGGCTGTTAATAACAAAAAAAAAAAGTGAAGCCGTTGGAGCGAACCCCACAAACCCTTTAAAGGTCAGTAGTTTAAAGCCTGTCCTCTTCCACCCTCTGTTTCCCTTTCGGAAGGGTCTACCACTGCGCCCTATTCGGAAGCATCGCCTCTCCCACTCGACCGACCGACGACCAGGAACAACGAGGGCGCCTTCCCATCATCCCGATCAAAAAGACGGGCACCCCACGATAACTGTGCATTAGAATTTGAAAAAGATGGCGGGCGTGTGAGCAGATTATCCGCATATCTGCCTGGTGTGCGTTTGATTGCGAGTGGACCCACCTTACACTATGCCAACCACTCCGCCGCCATTTCGCAGTGGGTCTGACAGAGACGGTGGGGGATCGACATGCTGCCCGATGTGTGCTGTCACGTACACTGGCGCACCTGTGCCCGCCTGGCGCGCCTTGCGCACGTCGCGCAAGATGCGCGCCTGGCGCGGCTGGAGCATGAGGCACACCTGGCGCATGTGGTCTGCCTGGGGGTCCTCGAGGGGGTAGAGAGTCCAAGCTGGCCCAGAATGGTTCCCGACCCCCCTTCCTGGCGCGCGCGCGCGCCGCGCCAGGAAGGGGGACGCCAGAGGCACCGCCAAGGGAGTCCAGCGCAGATCCGAGGAATCGGTGCGGAGCTCTCAAAGTCTGTGCATGCAGTTTTTTCTCGTTCGCCAAAGAGAGCATCAAGATGAACCCGTCGAGGCTCCAAGACGACCCCAAGGGCGCCCGAGAGCGCCTCAGGAGCGGCCCGAGAGGGCTCCGGGGCACGACGTCTCAGGCTCCTCAGACGGGCGCGTGCGCATCGGCGCCGCAAACCTCTGCTTGACCGATGTCCTGATGAACGCACGAAGGCCCCAAATGCGTCTGATCCGCGGCGAGCGAGGGAGGGAAGTAAGAGGGGGAAGACCTTCTCAGAAGGCGGCGGGACTTCTCAGAAGCCCTGGCGACTTCCGAGAAGTTGTTGTTGTCTTCGGGGAAGGCTCAGGGAACTTCTCAGAAGGCCAGGAGCCTTCCGAACCTTCTGAGAAAGCCTTCTCCCTCTCGCTTCCAACCCCTTGCTCGCCGCCGATCTGAGGTGAGCCCAGGAGGACCCCGAAGGCCTCCTAAAGATGTGTCCTGTAAAAAACAAGCCTGATGCCCCTGCGGTTGCCTCTCGGAGGGTGCCGCCCAGGACGTGTGAGACAGGGGGGAGAAGCAGGGCAGAGGGCGCGGACAGGGTACCCGTCGGTCGCAAGAAGCAGGTAGAACCATGAAGTAGGAAGAAGAAAAAACACTCGATTCTTGAAGTAGGAAGGCCGCTAAAGTAGATTGGGAACTTGGAATCCAAAAATACCTACTTTCAACGACCGATGGGTAAACAGACCCAGGCGTCGTGGGCGGGAAGGGAACACCGTGGCCCATGCGGAGATCCATATAAATCACGCAACGGCCGCCAGGAGGCCCAGTGGGAGACCGGGGAGCGAGGAGGAAGAACGAGAGTAGAAACGTGCGTCCAGTTGTCTCTCTCCCCCCCGAAGGTCTCCAAAATGGCCCCGACGGCGCCCGAAGATGGGCCTGGAAGAGGTCAGGAAGCTCCCATGTCGAAAGATCCGCGGCGGCCTTTCTAGTTGACGTCTGCGCCACGTCTGCCCAGGCCAGCCCCGAGAAGCTGCCCCTCTTTGTTGCACTGCGCACGGCATGCCCCTGCGCCTCGTCAACCAAGGCGACTC